GGTTGGTGGGGGGAAGTCGGGGGGAGGCAGGGGCTCTGCCTGGGCAGGGAGCACAGTTACCATTCATGCTTGTTTTTCCTTTGCTTTTCCTTACTTTTCTTCTCTGAACGCCCAACTCACGCGTTCACACGGGAGAGGACAGCACACTGCACGGATGGGTAAGGGGCTCCCTCCCCAGCTCACTCCTGGCCTTGTGAGACCCTCATCCCCAGCAGACCCCACTCTGGAGTGTTCTCTCCCACGTTCAGCCCTGCACATCAGGGCTGCTCCTTGGCAGAGGAGCGGACTTGGCCGCCCGCCTCCTTCCTGTGTCTCAGCAGGGTGAGTCAGTGCCTCGCAGTGCCCAGCGCCAGCTCTGCCCACTGCCTGGTCACTGCCAAGCCGGGAGAGGGGGGAGGCATCCACTGTGCCCTTTTACTCTGGCTGGAAGGGAGTTTCCAGTGTCTGTGGCGTGTCCCGCCTGTCCCGTTCTGAGTGTGTTCCTCTAACTGTCTGCATAACAAAAGATAACTCGGTATTGTTTGTGTCCCAGCTCTATTTTGGCTACTGTTGCTTTGCTGTCCCCCTCTACACCCCCTGGGACCTTCTGCTGCCAAAAACCGGCTTTGTGCTGGGGACCCGGAGCCTGCACCCTGTGCGCTTGCCTGTAGCTACTGCCTTCAGCAGGTAGTTTTGTCCACCTAAATGTTGATCCCTATCTATAAGCACCCTCAGATCTGCCTGATGGTTTCCACCACAGTGTGGGATGCCAGCACTGGCTGGCGGGGACCAGGCTGGTGTAGCAAGAGTGGGGATTTATGGTCTCTGAGGAGCTGCAGCAGCAAATCTCTGCTGGGTACCTGCCAGCACTGGCTTGCTCACAGCTCCCTGTGGCCTCCGGCTTCCCCACCGTCCCTGCTGCCCTTCTGCCCTGCCCTGCCTTGCCAGCAGGGAGGTGAGCAGGATTAGCTCAGGTCTCTGCTATGTGACATGTCTCTGTCGATTGGCACCGGTTACTGCTGCGAGGCGTGGGGGCTGTTTGTGCACACACGAGTTTCCGGAGCACCCCGAGTTCCCTCGGGCTCACTGCATCCCGAATCCCTGCTGCGGGGACAGCACAGGAGGGTGCTGCCCATGCAGAGTGACACGTTCCCAGGCCCCTCACTGCTGTGGCCCCTCCGTCCTGCCTTGCTGGGAGGGTGTTGGAAAAGCAGTGATATCATCTGCACGGAGCCTGACTCATCCTGGCTCTCCAGCACAAGCCGTGCCGCTCAGCGGGGCACACATTTTATTGCAATTAAACCATTGCAGGCAAGCCAGCTCCACGTAATGATTTTTTTTTTTCCTCATAGCAAAGCGTGCCTGCCCCCGGCCAAAAGGTGAGAGGGGACAGAGGTGACGCTGGAGTCAGTGTAGAGTCTCCACTTCTGGTAGGGAACCCTAAGAATAAGCCTTGCCAGGTATCTGCAGGGTCTGTCTCAGCTGCTGCAGCATCCCTGCCTCCCTTGTGCCTCCAGTGCAGGCTCACAGCACTGTCTTGTGTCAACAACCCTCACCCTAACCGCAAGTGCTCAGGTCCCTGGGTCACCAGCCTGGGTTGGAATGACACCTATTGTCTCCACAACACAGAGCCCAGCTCCTGCCCATATCCCCAGGGGACCAGCATCGAAGTGCACCTGTCATCAGGAGAAAATGTAAGGTGACATGTTCCTCCTGACCTTCCCACTCAGGTTTTTCCCGTCTCTTAGAGGTTTGGAAGGTGAGTCAGGAGTTGTGGGGTGAGGATGGAGCTGGGGAGAAATTGGCTGCTCAGGGAAAGGCAAACCAGTTCCAGGCACAGGTGAATCATTTGCTGGTGAAAATAGATCTTATTCTCTAGGAGGCGTGCGTGGATGGGGCTGGGAGTGAGCTGCAGCTTGACTCCACCAGGAAATTGTGGAGTCAAGAGAAAAACAAGGGGCAAGGCAAGGCAAGGCTGCTTTCCCAGTAAACGAGGCGATACATCTCAGGGAAGCAGCCTGCAGCAGGCAAGGCTCCAGCAACTCGTGGCCCTGTGGCTCCCTTAAAAGGGGCGATTTCAGCCTGAGATGGTGGGGAGACAGAAGAGCCGTAAACACCCTCGAAGGAATGTGGCTGCTGAGAAACGGAGCATCTCTGTGGGTGAGGAGCAGTGGGGGGAACCCGGATGGCGTTCACAGCACGGCCCTGTGCCAGGAGCCAGCTGGCTCCTTGGCCATGCCCTGTCCCAGGGGAAGGATCCCAGTCCCAGTGCTAACGGTCTGGAGCCTGGGGGAGGCTCCTGTGAAGCCCTGGGATGTCGTGTCCCCACATCCTGGGGCCCCAACCCATGGTTGCTGCTGGCACGGGAGCTGCTAGAGCTGGGAGGGGGTGTGCAGGCAGCAGAACATCCAGCCCCAGCTCTGGGTGAAGAAGGAGCATTCCTGGAGCACTTGGGCAGACACCTGAACAGAGTGAGGGGAAGTCCTGCATCAGGCTGGGCTGAGGGAAGCCCCCTTGCCCTGCACTCTTGCCTTCTTGCCCCATAGTTTGGGCAGGCTGGCTCCTTCCCAGCCATGCTGCAAGCCATGTTCAGCGGTGATGTGTTTGCCTCCAGTAAATGCACCAACTTCACTGGGCCAGGCAGCTTTTTTTAATCCTCCTGCATCAACAGAGGTGACAAAGGCCTTGCAGCATGTCAATGGCAGAGCTGGGGTTCACCTGTTCCAGCCCTTCCCAGCCATTGACCCCCTTTGTTGAAGAAGTCAGGTACTGATCCAGCCCTCAGGAATCCAGGAGCCACTCAGGGCTGGCCAGTTCTGCTCTGCAGGAACATTTGCAGGGCTCTGGAGTTGCTTTGGGTAACAGGGGCTGTGGTAGTGCAGAGGATGGTGGCTTGTGTTGGGGACTGCCACATACCCTGCGTGTGGGGATGCAGTGGCACCTCTGGGTCAGACACTCCCCTGCATATCCCAGGCTGGTGGCACATGGAATGTGCATCAATAGCCTGACTGAAATAACTGTGCCACTTGCTTATCTTCCAAGACCAATGGAGATGGGGCACGTGGTGCTTGTCTGTAAATAAATTTTTGCCAGAGTGACACAGATGCTGTGTCCCCATTCCCAGGGTTTGCTTTGGAGCCTGTGCTTGTTGGAGCACAGGGATCTCCGAGCTGAGATGGGGGATGGCCCCTCGGCCTGGCCCAGGCACCCCATGGAGCAGCTCCAGGGTGGGTGACCAGCCCCTGCAGCGAAGCCCCCAAAGCAGGCAGGAAACCTCCTGCTTCCCTTCCTGTGGGAGCAAAGGGGACTCCTGGGGTGAGAGCCGGGATCAGGCTGCGGGGATGCAAAATCCCAGTGGATGCCCTGAAGGCCATGACAGCCTTGGGAATGGCTGGAGGCAGGATCTGGACAGAAGGTTTTGGAGCTGTAGGTGCTGATGTTTAAGGCTTTGAACCTCCAAGCTCTCCGGGCTTTGCTTCCCACCCTGCATTGACTTAACCTGTGCCAGTCCAGAGCCCAAAGCCCAGCGAAGGATCCTTGCCCTGCCTGGATTCTTGCTGCTGGCAGCCCCCTCCCCACTCGGGGGGACATGTGGGGTGGGCAGTGCAGGCTGTGATGGGGAGGGGCCGGGGGGCTTTGGTGTGAGGGTGTGGTTTCTGGGGTGCCATGGGCCCCATGGGTGCAGGGTTCCTGGAGGGGGGTGCAGGGTGTGGAGCCGTGGGTGCTGCAAGGAGAGTGCGGGGGAAATGCGATTGCTGGAAGGGGCGAGGGATGGTGGATCCCAGGGGGTGCGGCGGGCTGTGCCCGGGGTGCCCCGAGCGCTTCGTTAGCCCTCGGCCCAGCCTCCTCCTTAATTTAGCCGCGGCCCGGAAAGCCGTTATAAGCGGGCGACTGGGGTCGGGCGCCCTCCCCACGCGGGAGGCGGGAGAGAGGGGAGCGCTGCCGGCCCGGGGGTGCGGGCAAGCGGCCAGCGGCAGCGGGGCTGAGCCCCGGCCCGAGCGGAGCCCGGCGGCGGAGATGGGGCCAGCGGAGGGGTCCGGCCTGTGCTGCTCCTCGCCCTGGGGAGGGGGCGGTGGTCCCCCCGGGGCTCTCCCGGGAGGGGGTCGATGCCCAATGAGGCGGTCGCCTTCCTTCCTCTCCCCTCCTTCTCTCTTCCCTCCCTCCCCCTTCTCTCCGCCTCCCGTTTTCGCCGGGCCGCGGTCTCGCGGCCTCTCCCTGGCCCGTTTGCCCCCCGCCGTCCCTGCCCTCGCCCCCGGCGGGAAGCCATCCGGGCAGACGGGGCCGGGGGGCACCCCCGTGCCCCACCGGGCTCGCGGCGAACACCGGCAGCCGCCGGGCCCTCGGCGGGGGGCCGTGGAAGGGCCGGGACAACCCCGGGGGCCGTGAGGTTTGCTCGCACCCCAGAAGGTGCCCTGCTCACTGTGGCCCCCCGGTGCTGGCAGGGCAACCTGGCCGGGCCTTGCTGCCAGCGGGACCCCGCCTGCGTCCGACGCTTACCGGGCCCCTTTCGACTGCGTCCTCAAGCTGGGGGACAGCATGGCCACCTACGAGGAGGAGGAGGGCATCGAGCTGCAGGGGCTGCACAGAGTCTGCAGGTGAGTACAGTGCATGGCCAGCGTGGCTTTTGGTATTGCCCTTGTGTGAAGTCTTCTCCTCCAGCCCTCCTGGGTCCTGTCGTGCCTGCACATACCCATGTGTTCCACACCTCACTCTGCTTTCAGATAGACCTGGTGAGCTCCCTTCCTTTGTCTGTCCATCTGTCCATCTCCTGCTTATCTCCCACTGGAGTTTGTCTCCCTGGTCAAGGAGCTCCAGCCCCTAGAACTTGTCCTGCCAGCCTCTGCACTCCTGCAGCTGCGAGGAGCAGGGCTGGTGGGACCTGACCCGCTCTGCTCCCCAGGAAAGTCTCCCCTGGACCCTGGGTCTCAGGCAGTGATGTGCAGGTGGCTGCTCTGCCCCAGGGCCCAGCGCTGCCAGGAGTAGCCTGCACCCAGCCCCTGGTGGGTCCTGCTGCCAAAGCCAGCCTTGTCCCTCCCCGCCCAGACCCTTTGTCCTTCAGGCTTGGATTTGCCCAGCCCTGGTTTTCCTGAGTTTGTAGTGATGCCCTGAGATGACGGTGTCAGGAGGGTGTTAACTTGAGCAGAACTGAAGAAGAGCTGGGTAAGGAGGGGTGGTGGTGGGCAGGTTTGGGGAAAGAAGCAGCAAGGTGGAAGTGTTTGCAGAGAAGGAGGCAGCCCTGTGTCCCCAGCAGTGAGCTGTGGGGAGTGAACAGGAGTTACAAGGAAATGCAGACAGCAGTGAAGGGAAAACCCACATGCCTGGGGGCAGTGGAAACCTGGCAGGGCCAGGCAGAGGACTGAGTGCCCTGGGGTCAGGTTTTCCAAGCTGCTGGGAACCACCCTGCGGGCTGTGACCTGCTCTGTATTCCCCCTTCTCCAGGAGACAGCCTGGCTCAGGATGAACAGTGTCTCTGGGACGTGCCTAAGGCTGGGTTGAAATGGGGCCTGCTCTGGTTTGGACAGCAGTTGATACCTTTTTTGTTTTGTTAAATGAGGCTTCTTGGTATGAAAACACACCTGAGCAGGCAGCCCAGCCCGTGCTGCTGTTGACTGCTGGAGGAGCGATTCCTTTGCTGAAGCTCGTGTGAAATGTGCAAATTGAGGTTTTCTGACAGCTCTGGGGCACAAACCACTGAAGAACAGGTCCTGGGATCTTCCTTGCTCTGCACCTTCAGGGACATGCCAGCTTCTTCTCCTGGTCTAATGCACTGCTAGCCAGGCTTGCTGTGCCTGGAGGAGCAAGCTGATGATGTCCCTGCTCCCTGCCAGGTACTTCTGAATTATTTGCCTTTGACCCTCAGTCTTAACCACCGCTGTTTGCATTCCTGGTGCTGTGGTCCCCTCTCCAGGAGCGTGGGTGAGGGATGGACACGGAACCAGGAGCTGCCATGGGAGCTGGTGGTGTCTCAGCTCTGTGTGGTGCTGCCCTAGAGCAGCAACTCACTTACCAACAGTCTGCCTGAGCAGATGGGGGCTGTGAAGGGTGAAGCACTGGGAATTGCCATCCTGCTGAAAGCAGATCCAGGCAGGAGCTGCCATCCCCCTTCACCTTCCTCCAACCTTCTTTTGCCTGAAGACGTGGGCCAGGTTTAACTCTCACCTGGCAGAGCTGCCTTCTGCTGCTGCAGCTCAGGAGTGCCAGAGTTTGCCTGGGTTGGCACCAGGTTTTCTCATTATCTGGGAACGTTTATTCTGCCACAGTGACTCGGTTTAATGAACTCTCCCACAGCTGGTGTTCTGATGTGAGCCCCCGTAGGACAGCTAAGCAAGCAGAGTGTTCGTGTTTGCCTGTGTGCACAGGGTGTCATCTCCAGCACAGGGCACCCACACAACACTGAGCTGGCCCCTGCCAGTGTGCAGGGTCCCTGCTCATCCAGCTGGGCTGCAGCCCCTTCCCCAGGGGTGGCACGTGTGCCTGGTGTCCTGGCACACACAGGGAAGGGGACAGAGCAATTGCTCCTGTCCTCTGGGCAGTCCCAGCTTGCTGGGGGCTGGAGATGGTGCCAAGCCCCAGCCCATGTGGACAGGACAGCAGAGCTGAGGTGCAGGGGAGGGCAGGGGTGCCTGGGGGTGCAGCTTGCTCTGGGCTGGGGGCTGGCACAGCCTGGGAAGCCCCCTGGGGAAGCCTTTGGGGAGTCTGGTACAGAGTCTGGTTGTCCCATACTCGGCAGCCAAAAAAAACGAGGAGGGTGCTTGTTCTGGTCCTCCCTCACACCATATGGGGGGACATGGCCCAGCCTGGTCCCTGCTGTCCTTGTCCCAGACAGCTGGAACTCACCCCACCCTGCTCAGCCTGGCACCGGTGGGCAGGGAGCTCACTGGAAAGGGCTCAAAACCAGCTGCTACAGAGCCCCCATGGGGCTTCACCAAAGGTAAGGAAGGAGCTCAGGGAAGGGATAAAGCCTTGACTGGCTGGATACTGCTCTGGGTGAATGCATCATGGGGTCACCCCGTGTGGCACCGGCCCCCGTGTGTTGGGATGGGTGGGGTGGTGTCACTGTGTCCCTCCTATGAGAGTTTTCTTGGGGGCTGTGGTTTTCAGCTCTGTTTCTGCTGGGGCTTTTCCCTGCCTGGTTCTAGTCTTGAAGAGAAAATAAACGCCAAGTTGCTGCCCACAGGAGAAGCAGGCAAAGGGGTCTTCAGTGAGCAGCTCCCAGTTTACTCCTGCAGGACTATGGGTTATCTTTGCCTCTCTTGTTTTTTTCCTCCCAGAAGCCTCTGTACACTGAACATCTACTCACACAGGCAATACCCAGCAGATAAACAGAGATGATTCTAATGAGAACACAGTGAATAACTCCTCCTGCCCCTGCCCATACCTCAGTTAATGCTGCAATGCTCTGTGGGAGCTGTTGTCCTTCTCTGTGCTTTGTGCTCCCATTTGCCCTTGACTCCTCTTGGAGAAAGCTTGGAGAAAGCAATGAATGAGATGCACTGGGCCTTTGTTTGCAGCCTGTGTGAGATACTCAGGGTGCTTGGTGCTGAAGGGAAACATTTGTTGACAGAAAATAATGAATTTTATTGACTTCCCAAGACGGGGGGGGGGGAGGGAAGATGAAATAATTTCAGTGTTTTGAGGTTTGGAGTTTTAGCCAAGATACTCTGGCAGATGATGGAGGGGATGAATAGTCTGGGTAACTTGCACAAAACACAGGGGTTGTCGCTGCTCAGAGGGCAGGATCGGGGCAGAGAGGCTCTGCCTGGCATCCAGCACTGCAGGAATGCAAAGGGACTGACAGTGTGGTGTCTCCCCTGGCTGCAGGTACTGGGATGAATTCCACACCTGTGCCCTGACAGCACTCTGGGAATGCCAGAAGGAAGCAGTAGCTGTCTGGGAGATGCTGAGAAGGGAGTCCCGAAAAAACAGATTTCAAGGCAGCTTGTTCGACCTCTGCAGCCCCAGCATGGCCCAAAGCTCTGCCTGGACCCACGTTCCCAACGTTTCCATCCTCAGTATCCCCCTCATCGTCACTTGGGTGAACTTATAAACTGCAGCTCTGTGAGTATCCCATCAAAGGCAGTGGCAGTTTGTGCCCTGGCATCTTTCTGATCCTTTTTCCAAACCTGAGGAATATCCTGCGTGGAGCTCAGAGACACTCGGCTCCATCCTGTGCCTGTGGGACATGGGAGAGCTTGGCAGAATCTCCTGGGTGTTCCTGTTGGTCTGTAATTTGGAATAATGCCTGTCCACTTCTGCTTCAAGACAGAGACAGATCTGGCTGTCTGGAGAATTTGGGAACTTATAGGTATGGGGCAGAGGATTTAGGGAAAAGTGATAAATTCTGGAAAAATGGCAAATGTTGGACTCTTCCCACTCTTCTATGGCTACTGGAAGGAAACCTGTTTACTTTGCTGACTCTTTCCACCAGATCAACTCTCCAAGTTTTTGATTTGGGCACTGAGAACAAGATGGGCATTTTTACCACTGTTCTGTGAGGTGCAGGGGGGTGGTGTCTGTTCTGTCACAGGCATAAGGGAGACCTTCTGCCCTGTATTGGCCCTTTTGCTTTAAGGACATGGTGAAACCCCTGCTGAAGAATAATCACAGTTGCATGACTTGTCTTGCACACATCTGGATTCCTGAGTAACTCCTGTGTAATGTGTAAATCCCTTTTCTAAGGACACAGAGAGCAAAAATATTTTGATCGAGGGAGAGTGTCAAGGCAGGACAAAAGGGATTTATAGCAACTCCTGCTTTGAAGCTTTCCCCAAAGGTACCTGTAAGCAGCTCTGTGGGTAGAAGTGTGTAATTCCAGAGTATTAAAGTGTGTTGTAGAGCCTACAGCATGGTAGAAGTTGTTTGTCCCGGCTTTTGCTTGACAGCACAATTTCTTCTTTTGTGGCTCAGAATGTTAGTTTTGCAGCTTCAGTACAAGCCTGTAAGTATTTGGAACAGAGGGGTGTTTGCAAGTGATTTCTGAATATGTTAGAGAAACACAGCAATATTCTTGGGCAGTCCAAGGCAGTCTGTGTTTTAAGGATGCTGCTGGAGCTCTGTGCCCTCCTGGCTGCACGGGGCCATGGGAGCTGTAACTAGTGAGGGATCTGCTCTACAATGTGAGCAGGGGCCCCAGGACCCTGCCAGCCCCACAGATCCCACTGGATGGATTCCAGGTGGTGGGCAAGCTTCTACAGCAAAGGATCTTTTTGCCAACAGTGGTGCTGGGTCATACTGCTCTCCTTTGGCACTCACGTGTTCTTCCTCTTACCTTCACTACCATCAACACTCTGCTCCTGCAGCAGCAGGAGGGAACAAATCCATTGAGGCAAATTCCAAGAAATAAGTCAGGGAGGAGCAGCTGGTGTTCAGACAGTGCAATTTGACTTCCTGCAAACAGAGTTGTTACTTATGTACTCAGTACTGAGCATCTGGGGCACAAAGCCTTAGGGTGAGCAGTGGAGACAGGGGAAACCAGAGCACGGCAAAACCTGGAGTGAACCACTCAGATGCTTCATTCTTTAATTCTTCTTCCACTCCAACAGCAGTGTTTGTTGTTTGATCCTGTTTCCCCTACCCTGTTATCTCTTGTCCTGCCTGTGGCTTGTAGCTGGGGAAAGCTGAAGCGGGTGAGTGTCATGTACAACCAAGGCTGGAGTATTTTGGATCCAAATCCTGTACTTGCTCTTTGTTTAGAACAGCTGTTTAATGCCTTTAGGAAAACAAATAAGCACAGCCCCCCCCAATATCCCACAACTCTTACCTTCTCTTTGGAGTTCCTCTCTGTTAAAACTTTCTACTCTAAAACAGCTTTGAGGAAAGGGAAGGTAAAATTCTCAGATCTCCAAGTCTTCTTTTTGCAAAATCACGGATGCCAATGGCTGGCTGACACTGCCACTGTCTTTGAGAAGAGCAGGTGTTGGGACATATCTTCCCTGGAAGCAAATCCCTCAACTATTGCACACAAAAAACCCCAAAGATTCATTAAGAAACAAAGACCATCTGTCACTGTTCTGGTATGGAGCAGCAGATTTTTTTTAAAGCCAAAGGTGCTTCTAAATCTGACTGAAAGCATGTGAGAGAAAATTAGGTCTCACAGTATGGGAGTGATGAGTTTCCTCAATCAATATTTCATTTTTAGCAGAACTTCCTCTATGACTAGGACAATTACAGTAGAATTCCTTTAAAAAAAAGTAATACCCAGATACAGTCCCCCTGGGCAGTCAGCAGCCTTTCAGAAAGCATTTCTGACCCTACAGCACATTCCTGCTGATGCAGTGCAGCTCCTGGGGTGTCCTGCAGCCTCAGTGTGAAATCCACATTTGTCAAGGATTCTTCTCCTGGTTCAGAGAGACTCTCTGAGCCTCTCCAGATGCAAAGTACCCAGATTTCACCCCCCAGGGAGGCTGCTGAAGCAGTTACAGCATATCTTATGCATTCAAAAAGAAAGGGTAAGTGTTCCTTGGTCCAAAGTCTTCATCTCTATTCTTGCAGGGGAACAAAGGGAGCAGCTCTGTTAATATGGGCTCACAGCAACTCTGGGATCAGCTGGAAGAATGTGGCTTTCCCTCCTTGGTCTCATGTTCACTGTAATTAGTGTTTAGCTCCCACTTACCCTAAGAACAACCCCAAAGAACACAGAGTTCACACCATGCTTTGGTGTGGTGTTAAGCCTTGAGGTAAACCTGCAAACTTTCCCTGTCCCTGCAGGACTGGGATGTTCTTTCTCAAGAATAACAACAAAAAGCAGGAGAGGACAAAATGACCCCGAGGGAGTCTTAAAAGATGACTAACAACACTGTCAGTGCTTGTCACCCTGAGGCAGAACTGCCCTCTGCTCTGCCCTGATCCCAACCACAGGCACGCTCCTGCTCCTCTTTTCTGAGGGAGATACTGGCACCTACTGGAGACCAGTTTATATCCAGGCTGAGGTGACTGGGAGAAAGGCAAGTATCCTTGTATATGAGAACTGAGCTGATTTTGAGAAGGGATGGACTGTCTTGCTGCAAGGGCAGCCCTAGGAAGTGACCTCAGGGTGGCCCTCCAGGCTGGCTCCTGCCCAGAAAAACACTTGTGTAAACTCTTCCCTTTGAAAGGCTGCTGCTGTTTGAAACTCTGCTTACAGGGGGTTTGGTCAGGAAGGGCTCTTGGTGAAATCCCAGAATATAAAAAGTGCTGGTTACATCTGTTTAGACAGAAATCCTGCTCTGAGGCAGCTCTGCCGGGTATGTAAAGCACAGGATGTTATCCTGCCTCAATTTACAGTGTCTGAGTGTGAGAGCAGGGACTGAAATACATCTCATTCCCCAAGAACAAAGTCAAAAGAGCAGCTTTAAAGAGTTTATCAACTTCTGTATCTCCACATCATCCCACCACTTTTGAACAAGTTGAATTAGCAAATAACTTATGCAAGTTAACATTACAAATATTAATGTACAAAGGAAAGTTATTGCAGCAAGATGCTGCACAGGAGAAAAATCTGTCTTTAGACCTGGCTTGGTCCTTGTTTGGGATTGCACAAACTGGTCATCCCTCAGCAGAATCCAGGCAGGATGTGGGTCTCCTTGATTGGCCTGTGGGATCTGGAGGAACCCCCGAGCCCCGGCCCCTCAGCAGTAAGGGGGTGTCACTGCCTGGTGAAGTTTGTTTGAAGTGTCTCTAAATAAAGGCACATCCTGTTATTTCGAGAAATAACAGCAGTCTCTTATTTAACATCACCTCTACCAAACCAGATCTGTTGCTAGAATTCTGAAGCCGGGCAGGAACACCCAGACAAGTGGGAAGAGCAGCAGGTGGCTCCAGGACACCTCCAGCCTCAGGTTGAACATGGAGAGACCCTGGATTGCTGGCACTGCTCCCGAAGTGGGATTATGCCAGCTGACTTCCCAAGACAGCACTCACTGATGCCTTCCTTTCAGAGCAGAGGTATGCAATGTTTATTGTAGGAAATGTTATGTGCCCCAGACAGTGGGCATCTCACAGCCAGGTGTTCTCTGGCTGTATCCTTCTGTTGCCATGATACAGACACTCGTGGTACTCCTTGAAGGGCTCAGCTTCCCAGGAGAGCCATAACACACTCACAGCAACATAATGTTTTTATTATTACAAAAGGTTTCTTCAGCAAACTGCTGTCTGTCACCTCTATGTATCAAACATGGAAACAGCAAACAAACCCATCTAACGTTATAGGTTATTTAGTGACTCAGCTGGTGATTCAGGTAAGTACAACTATTTTCCTTTTCCCCATCCATTCACTTCTTTGACTCCTTTCCCAACCAAAGCCCAAATCAGTCACAGATTGGAAGCAGCAGCTCCCAGCCCCACTGCTCACCGTGCCAGCTCCCGCAAGAAGAGCTGACCATCGTGTTCCCCACACAGGGCACTCCCACATCGTTAGATTCCAAATGCTCCTCACGCACCAAGTTTTGCTACCTGGCTTTTAACAGTCTCTTGAGTGAAGAGTTTAAGGGCACACTCTCCATACAGTCACATTAATGCTTCATGTTAGCAAAATAAACATCTGCTCCTCCCTCGCTGCCAGCTGATGCCAGAGGAGATGCTCACACTCACGCAGCCACCGAGGTCCGGGGTGGGGGGGGGAAAAAAAGAAAATTAATAACAAAGTCTCAACAGACCTGCTGTGCTTGTTCAGGGATGATTCTGAGGCATGTCGGATGCATTGTGCTGCAGACAACGGCGTTAACGCAGCGTGTCTGTCGCCAGGGCGAGTCTATACGTTGGACTTGGGGGCGGAGTTGAGGGGGATCTCCCGCAGCTCTATCCGCATGCACAGGTACTCCCCGATGGCCGCCATCAGCGCCGTGCACACCACGTGCACCAGCCACCACGTCAGCGACGACGGGAAGCGCGAGTTGTAGATCCAGCAGCCCAGGAGGTGGAAGAAGTGCACCGTGACCGTGAAATCCAGGCACTGCTTCCCGCGGCGGATGAAGTACAGCAAGGCCAGGGCGCTGCAAAGGTAAAGGCGGGAGGTGAGTGAGATGCGCTGGGCCCGTGGAAAAGGGGGTGCAGCAAGAGCTGTCAGCAGTGCTGGTTATTTAGCGGTTTTAAAACTTCTTCAAATGTTTTAAGAATAGGTTGGTTTTGGCCTCTCTCCCGGCCACTGCAGCAAGACTTACATTCTTACAGCTTTTTAATTACATGATGGCAGGGAAAAGAGATTTTAGTGCAAAGAACAGGCAGGAATTTTTAAACTATCTCCCCCAGTAATCTCTGTGCAGTGGCAAAATTCATAAATCTTTACAGATCAGTGTTTGCTGAGATCCATTGATTCTAACTTTCAGTAAAATCTCTCACAGAAGCAAACCTCATTCCCAGCTGGGAAATTGAGGCAGTGAATTTAAATGACTTTTCCAGGTTCTAGAAAGCCAGGAGTCAGCAGTTCCCAACTGCCCTCAGCAGACATGCTCGACCAGGCACAGGGATTTTGGGAGATGCTTTCAGAGAGGCAGGACATCACACTGAATTCTCTTATGGTTCAACGTTAAGGAAGGACAAGACGCAGGTGCTCCAGCTGGCTGCAGACTTACCAGGTGAGTGCATTGAGGATGAAAGCCATCATGGAGAGCCTCCCCGGCGGGGTTGAGAAGCCTAAAATCTACATGGGACTATTAGTAGGAACCCGCGGCACAAATCGCAGCCCAAAATCTGCTCCCGTGGCCCAGCCACATCAGCACGGCCCCACACGGATCAGGAACTACACCAGGAGCCTGGGCAGCTCTGTCTGAATGTCTGGGGGAACCTATGGGAAAGGGAAAGGTCTGGTTCTATGCTGAGGGGAACCTCTTAAACTGGGGAGAGGGGGTCCATACTGGGGTTACCTATATGGGCAGGGGCAGTTGCCTTTATACTGGGGTTCCTATACAGGGTGTGTGTCTCTCTAAGGGGGTATCCCCTATACAGCGAGGTGGTGTTTCTACACAGGGGTACCAACCTATACAGGGTGTCTGTCTCTATATGGGGGTACTGTCTCTAACCCAGGGTACCATCTGCACATCGAGGTGCTGCCTCTACCCCGGGGCACCCCCTATTCAAAGGGAGAGCTCTATTCTGGGGGCACCCACACAGACAGCGGGTCTGTGTGCTGGGGGGCAGCTACACGGGGCTGGGGGACCTCTGCCCCCACACCAGGGTGCTCCGCGGGTGGGGGGCTCTCCCTAACACCGGGAATACCCACACCGGGAGCGGGGTCTGGTTCCCCCAGCACACCCCCACCCCGCTCCAGAGGCCTGTGTGCCCACGGCGGCTTCCCGGGGCGCGCCCTCACCTCGTCGCTGAAGACCTGCTGGAGGGAGGGCCCGGTGCTGCCCAGGGTGCCGAGGAGGGCGAGCCAGAGCCCGAGCGAGCTGTAGTAGCCCGCCTGCAGCAGCACCATCTGCGCCACGATCAGC